CGTACTGCTGACTGTACAAAGGTGTGACAGCAGTAAGGTCTTTCCCTCGGACAACCAGCATCTGCAGCGATGCTGCCTTTTCACAAGGAAGGAAGGGGTTAGAAAAGGTTGACCCCGAAAATGTCACACCTCACTTTGCCCCACGGATTTCCGTCTCCGGCGGTAAGGCCGTTTGAAGAACAGAGCTAACACATTAAAAACCTCCCACAAAAAGGCCGTGCGCGACCGCCTCAAGCAGTTGTCCCTTGGGCTCTGCGGTCACGCTCCCAGGTCTTCAAGACCAACACCAATTCGACTTCTTTTTCAGGTTACTCAAGAAATACCCTTCCACGGTGTGGGCAGCCAGGAAGTGACATCAGCCCTCATACAAGTAACAGCACACAAGACCAAGTTGATCACATTCAAATCCTTCCTACACCTCCTAATAACTCTCTTATCTCCACGACTAACCTTTCTCACGTCCCTTTATCACCTCGCCCCGCTAGTGCAAACGATTCGAGTACGCGGAATGCTATTCCTGGTCCCCTGAAACCACGCTCTAAGCTACACGTAGGAGCTTTCAACGTCCGGACACTGTGCCAAATAGGACAACAGGCTTCCTTAGCTAAGACTTTAGAATCTCGCTACATCGATGTGTGCTGCGTCTCCGAAACGCGCACACAGGATCCGAGTAGTGTCATTCATCTGACTTCACCATGTCAAAGTAACGAACCAACTCGATTTACGCTTCGTGTATCTGGAAGCCCTGATACTGCTTCCCGTGGCCTCGCTGGCGTAGGTATAGCATTGAGTTCTAGGGCGGAACTAGCTCTCTTAGGCTGGATCCCAGTAGACAGTCGTTTGTGCGCTGTCCGGCTAAACGGAACAGTAAGGACTCGAAAAGATAGGAACACTCGTCGTTGCCTCTTTGTCGTCTTTGCCTACTATCCCACTGACTGCAGCTCAGATGATGTAAAAGATGAGTTTTACAGAAAGCTTTCCGACCTTCTCCGAAAAGCTAGGCGTTTAGATGTAGTAATAGTGGCTGGTGACTTTGATGCTCAAGTAGGTAAACTAAGCGAAAGGGGAAGACACCTGGGTGGATCTTATGGTGTCGCGGCTCAAAGAACAGATAACTGTGGCCGTCTGTTGCAGCTATGCTCAGATAACCGCCTGTTTCTTGCAAACACTAACTTTAAGCATAAGGAAAAACATCTTTTGACATAGCGACCCTCTAATTCGTCCCAATGCTGAACCTAAATAGATCACATCGCCATCAGCCACCGATGGAGGGGCTCGATAGATGACTGTAGCTCATTCTGGAGCACATGCTTAGACTCAGATCATGCTCTAGTGCGAGCGCGTATTTGTCTACATCTTACTGGACGTAGGCCCCCAAATGCCCTGGTACGGCCGAGAGTGGGGAGAGTCCGCTCACCCTCTCGAAATGCTCTCACATGGCCATGCGTATATAGCCCCTGCCAGGGAAGTCCTACTCACTGCCTTCTCGTGGCGGGGGTGTTGTTTACAAAAATGAGAGGACGAAAAGCGAATGTCCGGCGCTTTAACCGGATCTCAAACCAATGGTGCATATGGGCTCCAGTATCCTGAAGGAACAAATGGCGTATGAACCAATTGTTGGTCACCGGCTACCATGGGACTGCATCTCCTCACGATGCTCCACTGCCTTGTGGGTCAGACGTTCAGGTCAAAGGCTCGGGGTGTGGCCCCCTAAGACAACCACCTGCTTCGGTTTGGGCACCCGGGCAGTATCACAGCCCTCACACAAATCAATTGAGCTTTGTGTGGCGCATATGTATTTTGGTGCCTCCCTGTACCTATACTTATGTGTTAAAATAAATAAAATAATAAATAAATACTGGACGTAGGAAAGATGGTGCGAAGAAACCCCTTAGGGTCCTACTTAATGACAGTCAAGTTAAGAATATATTTCAGGAACATCTAGAAAAACAGTTAGACAGTCATGTAAGTGATGCCCACCCTGAGGCAGAGTGGAATGACATCCGAAAAGCTGTAGAAACAGCAGTTATAATTGCAAGTACGGTAAACCATAAGGTTAGGGAGAAACACTGGATCTCAGCAGCGTCTACCGCACTGATAGATGCTCGAAAACTCATTCCATCTGGCTCTGAACATAACGAAGAGCGGAGTCAGCTTAAGCGTAAGCTGACCAGAAGCCTACGCAATGATCGTGAACAGTGGTGGGTAGCGAAAGCAAGAGAGATGGAAAAGGCAGCGGCAATGGGTAACAGCAGGCAACTGTTCAGACTTGTTAAGGAAACCAGTATTACGAACCCAACTGTTAGCGAAACAATCGCAGAGAAAGATGGACATATTATTCATTCTCAATCCAGGAGATTGGATCGATGGGAAGAACACTATAGGGATCAGTTCAACTGGCCTTCAGCCACACTTCGATTTCCCATGATCTCCAGTCGACCTGAATGGCAAGTTGATGTAAGTCCTCCGACTCTTTACGAAGTTGGAAAAGCCATAGGAAATCTGAAGCGTGGGAGAGCAGCAGGCCCTGACAGGTTTACCCCTGAAAATTTTAAGGATGGTGGTCCAGTATTAGCAGCGAGATTGACTGAGGTCTTAGGTAGAATCTGCGAACTGGACGTAATCCCATCTGACTGGTCTCAATCACTGATTGTGCCAGTCTATAAGAAAGGACAAAAGTCCTCCTGTGACAATCACAGAGGAATTAGTTTGACTAATATAGTTTCTAAAATATTAGCTTCAATAATACTTCGACGTCTAACCAAAGCTCGTGAAGAGAAGACTAGAGAAAACCAGGCTGGTTTTCGACCTGGACGTGGTTGTATTGATCAAATATTCACATCACGTCAGGTCCTAGAACATAGACACACATTCAGACGCCCCACAATGGTAGCATTTCTCGACCTTAAGGCGGCATTTGACTCTGTTGATCGTGAGGTTCTATGGCAGTGTTTGTCACTGAAGGGAGTACCAAAGAAGCACATCAACCTTATAAAGGCTCTCTACTCGAACACAACTGGTCGAGTGAGAGCTTATGGTGAACTGTCATCAGAATTGATTACCTCAAGTGGTGTTCGTCAGGGCTGTCCACTCTCTCCATTCTTGTTTAACTTTGTTGTTGATGTCCTTTTAGAGATGACACTTTCCTCATCTAAATTTCCAGGAGTTGAACTTCTACCGGGAGATTCACTTGTCGACTTAGAATATGCCGATGACATAGTTCTATTTAGTGAAGACGCTGACAAAATGCAGAGTCTGCTGACCACTCTAAGCAACAATGCAGACATGTTCGGCATGCGATTTTCTCCTTCGAAATGCAAAATGTTGCTTCAGGATTGGGTTGCGTCGACACCCGAACTAGTGATAGGGAGTGAAGTAGTTGAGCGTGTCGACCACTTCACTTATCTCGGAAGTCTCATCAGCCCTTGTGGTCTGGTGTGTGACGAAATCTCAGCACGGATACAAAAGGCTCGACTAGCTTTTGTCAACTGGCGTCATTTGTGACGTAGGCGAGATATCCGTCTATCAACCAAAGGACGCGTTTACTGCGCAGCAGTTCGTTCCGTCCTACTTTATGGCAGTGAAACATGGCCAGTAAGAGTAGAGGATATTCGTAGGTTACTAGTATTTGACCATAGGTGTCTTTGAAACATCGCTCGTATATCCTGGGACCACAGAGTAAGTAATGCAGTTGTTATGAAACGGGTACTAGGTAAGGACGGCAAATCGATTGACGAAGTAGTGAAACTTAATCAGTTGAGATGGCTGGGATATGTGTTGCGCATGCCAGACCACCGACTGCCCCGACGTGCGATGTTTTATGGTGTAGGAGTAGGTTGGAAGAAAGCTAGGGGCGGCCAGACCAAAACATGGCACAAACCCATGAGGTCACTGACAAGTGGACTGAGTCATGTTGGTAGGTGTAGACTACCTGGTTGGGGACCGCGAGACGATAGCAACCGATGGTTAGAGACCTTGAATGACGGCTCAAAATCGTTTGCAATGGCGCAGGTGCATCCACTCTTTGTGTTCTCTCAAACTCTAATCTTCTGAATTCTTCATGTCCATTATTTTCTTTCCCAATTTATTCCACTGGACTATACTCCTTTAATAACATCATCAAACCTTAATATCCCCTATCTCTACTTATACTTTCAGTACCTCTACCACTATAGGATTTGAATCGATAACTGAATCTCTGTGCTAATGTGGTATGGCAACTCGAACTGATGTATGTACGTACGAAGTGCCACGTTGTTACTGACTGACTGACATTGGAAGTTTTATTTATGTAAATTCAAACATTTTAATACGTGATTAGTAGAAACGTGATGTAAAATACTTTTAAATAGGTGATTCTAAAATACACGGATACACTTACACTATCCATTTCTCTAAGAAAACAGTAAACTCTAACCCTGTCTAAAGATCGCTTCACATTTTTAATGCCTTCCTGTCTGAAGTATTTAGGTAGGTGAAAAATTTTCAAGCAATTAAAATAATGACAATAGATAAAAACATGTTCATTATGTCTCTGAATAATTTATTATTTCGACAATAATTTTATTGGTTCTAAAAGCACATGTGTGAAATAACGCTACACAATCAATGACGACATTCATTTTTAGCTATATCCGTAACTAATTAACTAGTCAAATTGCACTTCCTGAAACTCCCGCTACACTAAATTAACCTAAACTTGGCGCGACTTGTTATTACTCAAATACCGATCAACGAGCAACATTTCTATGAATATAACTATTATATAAAATTTATTGATTAATTATATCTGTTCGATATGTCTTAGATTTCCTTTCTAATATGCATTTGCTTATTTCCTGTTTTGTACCAATAACAGAGACAGGTAAGGTATTAAATGTAACGTTTTACCTCTTTTAATAATAGGTTCGCACACTCTGGGTCAACTGTGCTACAAGAAAATACTTGTAGGTAAAATAAATATTACATTTGTACTTGAAAATATCATCAATTCAATTTACCGTTTTAGAAGTACGAGAATGAGTTTTGAAATCATATTCAGGTACTTCAATAGTTTTACCGTCGCGTAACCTGCGTAAATGATTTTCCAATAAATCAAGATCAAAAGCGCTTGGATGATCGAAATTGTAATGACAAGCAATAGCTTGAAGTCTTTGCTCTGGAGTAAGAACCTACGATATATTATCATGGGAGAAGAGAAAATAGGAAGAACAAATAATCAAGAAAAATATTTCTCAAACGAAAGTACTTCATTTCTACACACAAATACCTGTACATCACCAAACAAAATGATAGTTATTATGTAAAATGTGATATGAAAGCAAATTAAACTGAGACAGTAATTTGGTGGTTTAAGGGCTTGACTTTCAACCACTAGGTTGTGGGATAGAACCTAAGTTCGTTTACTTCAGTGAGGGCTAATCACTAGTGTTACTAAACCTTACACACAAACCACAACTAAAAAGCCGACTACACGAATCTACACATAGCAAATGAGTAAAATTAGTAAACTACAGGAAATTAAGGGAATAAAAACATATTCCGAGAGGTTGACATTCATATATTATTGATGTCCCTATAAAAGATTAAATCTAATAGTCAACTTACCCTTTTTGACCGTTAGTATAGTTCATTAGCAATTCGACCTCATGAATAATTAGTAATCAACCACTTGGTACCATTTTGTATCATCTTTCGACTAGCACTCCATTCAGTTTTATAACTGAAACGTGATCATCACCAACCCAAGAACTTTTTCTTGAATGTACACCTATTTAACCGATTATTATACACCATTCAAAATATTTGGCAGTTGAATGGTTATTAACTCACTGTTTACAACTTTACAAAAGTAAATAGGCGGATAAAGGGAACGGATACAGGCAGAAACAGATAGACGGAGAGACACTGAAAAACTATCGTCGACGTCTTTTCAAATGATAATCAAACACACAGCCTGTATCTATTAATTAGTTTTTTTACTTCACTGACAAAACTATTATATTTTTGTAGGTGTTTGATGCTTATAACTAAGTTGAATTGTTTAAAAGCGGAATCTATAGAAACTTTATCATCACTATGAGAGAGATACTTAACGGAAACGTGCAGATGTTTTCTGGACAGATATTATCAAAATTATAAATAATGATTACTGTTTCCCGTCTTCAAAGAATTAGTCAAATATCATTTTAAAGCACGTTAACTAAACGAAAATGAGTTTAAATATAGTATCAGAGATCATGATTAGCTTTTCTTGACTGGAACAAGTAACATAATATGAAAGATAACTTCAATTTATCTAATTAGCCTCTGCAACAACCAGAGTGGGACAACGCTATAACACAATTCAAAATACCCAAACAGTACCTGTTTATCAGGCTGATAAGCCTGGACAATCCAGAACTTCTGGGATGTAATCCTCAGAATAACATAACTTGCTGATTTGTGAAAGACAAACTTTCAACTTGAAAACTTGGTCATTATTTTCTGGATTTTATTAGCTTGTTACACTAATATGTCAAAGTTTACCCACTACAGACATTTTTGATAAATAAAATTATATTCTAACTTCTGATCCTTATGGTAAACAGAAATCTAACGAGTCTGGGCAGCCTAGTGGTAAAAGCGTTCGACTTCTGGACACAAGGTCCCGGGCTCGAACTCCACCACACTCACTTCGGTTTGGGCAACTGGGTGATATCATCAGCCATTACAATTAGAATGTGGCTCATTACGAATTTCTTGCTAAATGAGTTAATCTAACTAATTACTGGAATTATGTAGAATTGAGACTAACCTTGTAGTATGAGTCCAAACTTATTAAACTGACCCACTGTACATCCAGACTTTCAATAATTACGCGAGCAACAGATGTTTTACCGCTTGCACTACCCCCACATATACCGATTACAAAAGGCTGTTGAGTTTGTCCTTCAGCATTATACCAAGGTGGACGTCCATGCGTAAAGATAGTACGATTTCCTACGCGAAGAACTGGTTCCGGTAATCCCCAGGCAGAAGAAACGGAAACAACCTGAAATATGTTTTTCATACAACCAACTTACAAGCTACCAAAGATTAATTACGCCATTAAAAACAATAACTAAAAGCAATGAGCAATGTTACACTAAATATTCGTCAAATAAATAAGGGGGTTTTACGGTGCCTGACAAATAGCACTGTTATTAAAAAATAGGTGGTCAATTCAATTTTTGACAAACGTTCAGCAGATAATTCAAAGTATTTCCTTGACAAATTTCGAATAGAGTGAAGTGTATATTGGCGTTAATAATGGTCTACGAAAGTAACGTATATGATACAATGAGTGGCCTTCATTTATATAACAAGCATCTACATGTGATAAGTCAATATTTGAGACATTTTTTGAAACTGTAAAGAGTCTTTAGAAAACTAATCAGATGGTAATGAAAAAACGTATTGCATATAAAAGACACCTAGTTTTATGGTGATAATAATAATAATATGATAACAGACACGGTGTTTAACCTGAAGCATGCAGCGAGATAACGAACTACCGGAACAAGAGGATTGGAAGTTTAAATAATATTGGTGAACGGACAAAAGTTAAAGATTATGATGTAACCTTGTGTGAAAAATAGGAGCAAGTGGGAGTGATATTGTTAACCTCCTAATATTAATCTTACTATACCGCCCATTCATTTAATGGAGCCATGAGGTTCATGGCATGTATAAAAGCTCTTTTTAACAATACAGACTGTGGAAATGTAAGTCGATACGTGGAAAAACCACATGCGGATGGCATGACTATGACTCAAAACTTAAAGCAATCATACTTTAACGCTCAATCAAGAGTTAATAGTTTATTTCATTATTCTCTAATTTAGTGGCTGAGAAGTAACTACAACCACTAAATCAGGTACAGTTGTTCAAAACTGTATTACCTGACACAGTGAACACATTGGTCTTTGATTACAACAGTTGCCATCACACGTAGATTGAATTGCGTACACGGTTCCGTATATGGTTCTATGATGGATTATTCCCAGGACGAAATACGTCAGTGATATTTTCGACGTTATCGTCATAAAAAGCTGGTGAGTCCCATCGACAGGTAAGATGCATTCTGTTGACGAATACAAGTATGAAACCATCGTTTGATCCTCGGTTGGCTGAATACGAACACTAAACGAATATTTCCCCCAAACTTTTATGTTAAAGTTCAATTTTAAAATGATAATCTAATTTGGACAGAAATATGCGAATCATTATTACATAGGATTATTGTCTTAGAGAACTGAAAAATGTCCAACACTAGGCTTTCAAAACACTGTTAACTGATAACTTAAAAGTAAAAAGATTTTTAAGATAAAGAACAATTAAAATTTTCTACCTTTGGACCCTTGTTAATCTTCACTGTATCTGTGTGTGTAACTTCTTGATCACAGCAGCTGTAAAGAATAAAAGTAGTTAGAAAAGTAAATAGTACTTGTAACGCATACAAGACATTTCGGTGACTATCAATTCAACCATTCCGGAACTAGTTCAACTGGTTGGATAACACTAGGCTTAGCCAAAATAGAAATACAAGCACCTTATTGATATTTTTGTAGCATATAGTTAAAGAACATAAGGTCAGTTACTTGACGAGATAAAGTTCTCGACTGCCGTTTAAGGAGGATGGGTGAAAAAGTGCATCTAAAGTTGGTTTAGTAATAACATTAGATTCTAGATAAATGGATAATGAAAATTTAGTTAACTCAGTAGAAAAGAAAATAGGGTTTGAATTTCCGAAATAAAACATAAGTGTAACCTTTGGAAATACTCCGTTTATAATTTACGTACAGTTGTGTGGGTCGTACGGATTAAAGCAGCCCATTCCTCAAAAGATTCCGAAAAATTTAAGTGTGACTCTTTGCATTCAACTGAGAATGAAGTTATTTTTATAAATACAGGTATGATAGACCAGTTAAACCACTAATTCAACGTTTTTTTACACATGACCCGCAAATATCGGAATTGATCTACTGATTTTATATAAATTCAAGCGTAATATCCTTATGAATCATTTTCAGACTTACATAAAAACCCTGAAGCGATTCCAAGAGTTCAATCGAGTTGCAATGGCTATAAAAATTCGGAAATTTTACGCTAATTCCTAAATAATAACGCGCGCGTTTCAATAAGGGCAGTGATTTTGTACTTGTTGTGATTATCCTTGCTTTTGTGTAATTGTCGCATCAAAAGCATTCTTGGTCGATATTAAAGTACTTTAGTTAAGGTTTTAAATCGTGCTAAAGTTTGTCTTATGGTACCCTTTTACTCATTGACTGACACTAGTGTTCATACTGTGATCATATTGTGTTTTACACCTTACTCTGACTATAATGGTTGGTAGTACTCACAAATGTGGACAACCACATTGTTTGTTCCCTGTGGAGGAAGGAATGCAGTGTGATGAATGCAAAAGGTGGTTGCATAAGTTGTGCACCCGTTTAAGTCCCACTTCATACAAAAGATGTTCGAAGCCTAACTCACATTGGCTTTGCATGTTTTGCTGTGCAAATAAGACGTTACTAACACGGAGGCTATGAGACTATTGGCTTCGGCCTGTAAGAAAAACGATGGTGGTTGCGCTGATAACACGAACATTGGCAGTGAAGAATGTGTCAGTGTAGTACGTGCCGTTACTAGACGCCTCAAACACCCAACTGTGACTGACGGAAGTGAAATCTCCGTTAACGTTAACGAGGAGGGAAGTACCACCTCTAGTGAAAATTGAAGATTTGGATAAAACCGTCACCGTTCCAAATATTCCCGGTGTCCTGAGGGATGAAAAATGGACTATAGTACGGAGAAAACGAAACGAAAAGAAAAAGCTGTAGGCAGTGCGCAGGTGGTTAGCAAGTCATTGGTGGACTCCAATTGTGAGTCACAAAATGCACTACCAAAATCTGACAGTAAGAGAGAAACCCACCCTGGCATGGCTGAGAAGGAGAATCTAATAGCATCGAATATTATTGTGAGCAAATTGCTGAAGTCAAACGACCCTGATCCCAAAATCAGACACGCGCATGATTTAGAGAAGCTGGGAGAATATATTCGTATATCTTACCAGATAACTTTAAAGGAGTTCAGGTCAAAAAACTGGTTAGAATAGGTAAGAGGACCGAGGACAATTTATTTATTTTAACACATAAGTATTGGTACAAGGAGGCACCAAATACATATGCGCCACATGAATCTCAATTGATTTGTGTGAGGGCTGTGATACTGCCCAGGTACCCAAACCGAAGCAGGTGGTTTTCTTAGGGAACAACACCCCGAGCCTTCGACCTGAATGTCTGACCCACAAGGCAGTGGAGCATCGTGAGGAGATGCAGTCCCATGGTAGCCGGTGACCAACGATTGGTTCATACGCCATTTGTTCCTTCAGGATACTGGAGCCCATGTGCACCATTGGTTTGGGATCCGGTTAAAGCGCCGGAAATTCGCTTTTCGTCCTCTCATTTTCGTAAACAACACCTTTATTCGAGAAGGCAGTGAGTAGGACTTCCGTGGCAGAGGCTATACACGCGTGGCCATGTGAAAGCATTTCGAGGAGGAGAGCGGACTCTCCCCACTCGGCCGTACCAGGGCATTTGGGGGCAATGTTGAACCCCGACCATGCAGACTCCTTAAGGTAATCCTAGGATCAGAGAAGCAACGGGATCTCCTGTTAAGTAGCGCTCGCTTTCACAATTCTGACATCCAAGTTAGACCTGATGTCTCTCGAAGATAGAATAGAAAGGAAGGAAGCACTAGCTGAACTAGAAACCCGTCGACAAACGGTGAGCAAAATCTCCGGTTAGTGGGTTTTAGAATAGTCAGGTCTTGGGAGCGAATGCTACCAAGGTCTGTGTGGATAGGCCGTTCTACCTAGGAGTTTTATATGTTAACGCTCGTAGTCTAAGAAATAAGTTCTATGGACTAGAAGAATTAGTGGACAAATTAAGGCCATTCAATGTAGCAGTGACAGAAGCTTGGTTATTCCATGACTTAGACATTACTCCAGAATTATCCGGATACCATTACCTAAGGAGTGATAGACATAGATGTGGAAAAAGAGGTGGCGTCCTTTTATATATAGCCAATAATATAAATATCCGCTCCTCTGTTAGCAAATCCCATGATAGCAGTACTTGTGAAGTCATTAGCTGTAAATCGGCTATCGGATGTGGTACATTTATGCTCGGTGTGATCTATCGCAGCCTAATCCGCTTAGCTGATGACTTTATTTTAGAGCACATTCAACTTTGGAGTGCAAATAACAGATGCTTGATAATAGGAGAATTAATGCACGTGATATTAGTTGGACTGAGATTACCACGGCAGGATCTACAAACTCTTTTGATAGTATGTTCCTGATAATAATAATGGAGCATGCATTAGTGCATCATGTATCCGAACCCACACGTTTTGGTGCTAACCAAGGTTTTTCTCTGTTGAACTTGGTAATCACTCATGAGATTGAAGATATTGTCGACCTAAATATTCTTCCACCGTTAGTGAACAGCGATCACGCTGTTTTGTCATTCACGTTTAGAACTAGGGACATGTTATACGATCAGGTTACACCCTGCCTAAATGTATGGAAAGCTAAAATATCAGCCATTCAAGAATGCGCTGCTAAGACAGATTGGTTTGTAGATACTAGCCTATCAGTTGAAATAGCATGATCTGTATTTGTTTAGTTACGTCCTCATTCATACCATACCTGGTACCGCGAAGACCGAATAACAGTCCACCATGGATAACTAAACCAGTCAAGAAGCTTCTTAGAAGAAGGAAGAAGCACTGGAATATGTTCATCTCTACTGGCTTAGAACAATACAGGTCCAGTTACTGTAAGATTAGGAATGCCTGTAAAGCGTTAATAAGTAAGACTAGACGATCATTTGAAAAACAATTTGTTAGAGATTCTAGTCCGAAACGGTTCGTCTCGTATATAAAAAGGCGAACTCAGAGAAGCGATGGAATTCCATCACCTTTGATGCAAGAAAATCCGTTAATCTTGGCAAGAAATGATACCGAAAAAGCTGAAGCTTTATCGGAATATTTCAGTAAAGTGTTTTCTATCAATGAGGAACGACCAACGATTCATTGTGATTGTGGCGGCTCGCTGATGGACCCTGTAGTCATTGAGAAATGTACTGCCCTAAGGCTACTTCAGCATCTCAAACCTGATAATTCTAGTAGGCCTGATGATATTCATCCTAGGATTATGGAAACCATATCAGATGTAATTGCTGAACCATTAGCGATACTGTTTGACATGTCTCTGAGGCAGTCCAAACTACCCAGAGACTGGAAAGACGCGATAATAAGTCCGGTGTATAAGGCTGGGAGTAGGGATTTAGTTAGTAACTATAGACCCGTTAGCTTAACGAGTGCAGTTGTAAAACTGATGGAAAAAATCATTCGGATATCTGTTATAAACTATATTGAAAGGCATAATCTTTTCTTCAGGGAACAACATGGTTTTCGGAGAGGCCTATCGTGTTTGACAAATCTTCTCATTGCAAGAGAAGATTGGGCTGCTGCAAAAGATCAGAATATTCCTGTAGATGTGACCTTCATAGACCTAAGTAAGGCCTTCGATAAGGTCTCCCACTCTGATCTTAAATTCAAACTGGAACGCTTTGGAATCCATTATACAGTCGTAGATTGGATAGGTAACTTTCTTCATGACAGGAGACAAAGGGTAAGGGTTAATGGGGCACTTTCCTGGTGGGTACCTGTAAAAAGTGGAGTTCCCCAAGGTACAATCCTCGGTCCTCTCCTCCTTTTACTTTATGTAAATGAATTACCAACTGTAGAAAAATCATTTGTTCTACTCTTCGCAGATGACATAAAAATTTGGAGACTCATACACAGTATGTCGGATAGGATAGTATTACAGAATGATCTTAGCTCATTGGTAGCATGGTTGGACAGGTGGTCACTTGAAGTAAATCCTTATAAGAGTGTGGTGATGCAATTAAATAACAAGGATGAATCGTATCAGTATACAGTATGTGGATTCGTGCTACCCAAAGTAAGAAACTATAAAGATTTGGGAGTCATATTAAGTAATGATCTCAAAACCACTAGTCACTGTAAGGCTGCTGCTGCGAAAGGCTATAGGATATTATGGTCTATTCGTATGTCTTTCCAGTATTTAGATGATGAAATGTTTAGATTATACCCGATTGAAGTGCGACCACATTTAGAATATGGGACCCAAGCAGCGAGTCCTTGTTTCAAGTATGAAGCAGATATGCTGGAAAGAGTCCAACGACGAGGTACTATGATGGTACAAGGTCTATTTGGCCTATCTTATGAAGACAGACTGAGACACCTTAATTTATTTCCGTTATCTTACTGTAGAATACGGGGCGATCTAATATTGGCTTATCGTATACTGAACAATAACCTTAATATTAACATGTCTCTACTTGCGTCTAGGACTGATTATTCGAGAGGACATTCGAAGAAAGTTCAAAAACCGAGATCAAATAGTTTAGGTCTTCAGTTTCATTTCTCGCACCAAGTAGTGAATTACTGAGATTCTCTACCAGAACACGTAATTTCAGCACCTTAAGTTGATATATTGAAAACGAGATTGGACCTCCACAGTATTACAAATTGCAAGGAATAATATAGTTCGACAGACCTATCCTCATTACTGAAGACTGAAAACCATGGCAGCTTGAAGCCGTAGTAAGATTTATATAGGGGTTTGATGGCATTACACAATTTCTATTGTCTATAGGCTATATAAAAGCTGGGATGCCAAGCGACTAAAAGATCTGAACATTATCTTTTTGAATACCCATCCAACAAACGAAATATAAGCAATTTATGGAAAGAAAAATAAGCTGGAAAACACCTGACAGATAATAAGTAAATCTTTAATTTAAAGGTAGTTGTTATAATACATGAAGCACACCCGACTATTTAGGCAGGTGTAATTTCCAGAATGCATATATATATATATATATATATATATATATATATATATATATTAATAGCTTCAACAAATTTTATTATGGTATTTAGTACGTGACAAGAACTCGCCTTGCGCTAATGTCTGACTCAGAGCTGGAAGCCATCTATCCACAGGAAGTTAACACCGGGTGTCAGCTATGCGCAATAACCAAATCCAACCACGCGATGCGCAGCGCATTAATGGAATTCCCCACAGTAGCTGCTCAATGGCTCAAGGGCCGTTTTCTCCAGTATATGATTCCTCAATACCTTTGCTGTGAACTTGCAGAAACCTATTGATTTCTTTGTGCTCACTTCTTGTTGTTTTACTACAGCGTACTCACCAACCTAATATATTACCAGCCCTACTTAGCGCACATATTTACAACATTTATATTTATTACCAATTTTTGACACCAGTTCATAAATATATATATATATATATAATGTTTAGATTTATTGGGTTGACGGTAGAAGGCAGATGCATTGCGTTGTTCCTCATCTGTCAAGCTCGTGTGAGTGTCTGATCTTTCGAATGAATCAACTAAATGTGTAAACACCACATTTTTCAGGTATAGGTACCAAGAGTTGAAGACGCTGTGGAAAAATCTGTGCACCTCGGTTATTTTGCTCATTCTTGACTTTTAAAATAGCACGTTGTATTCGTTGAGTTCCCCCTGATTTATCGGGTCTGGGTCATTTCTTAGAATCGAATATGTCATGGATATTCGGTGCATGACAATTCTGTTGTTCGCAAAGCCTTTCTAATTAAGAGTCCCAAAATCAGTCGAATCGGAAGTCAGTAATGATGGTTTTTGAAGATATATTTGTAATGTAGTCGATGCGTCCAGAAATATGTAGTTTAAGCTGGCTTGTTGTTGTAAGTGATCTACAGTACGGTGTACCCAAACGTCATCTAGTGTTGATGTTCAACTGAGTACCTTCATTTAGGAGCGTTTCTGGTCAAATTAATGAGATCAGCACCAACTTTGATGACTTAGAACTATTTGTTTTTGGGATGTACTTATTGCTACAGTATCCTATACATCGAATTCCGATAGCCTAACTTGCGGTAGGAATGATTAATGAGGTCTAATTCCCCAAGACATACTTTGCTCTCTAAGCCTCAGAATTCTGGAATCGAACGGCCAGCTATCCTCTGTACTTTAAAAAGATATTCGAGCCACATTCTAAACAGAAGTTTGTAGACTGAATATAATTTTCAGGTTTGGATCTCACTGTGGTGAACACAGGATTTCCAGCCTCTCGGACACAACTATACCTCAGTGAGCCCAAGTTTCGATGTTGCGACTGCTTCTCATCCCTAGATTCCCGCGAGACAGGAATGGGAACACAAACTCTTCCCCTATACTGTGGGTAATTCCATTTCTATCCTCAGCCTTCATGTGGATATACTTCGCTATATCGATAGGCGTTAATCACTATTTGACAAAAATAGGCATGCCGTCAAGTTGGCCCCGACTCCACGTCTGTTCGAAACCCCTTTCACAATCTTGATGTCATCCGTTTGAAGTAACACTGAGGATCTAAGGATGTTTGAAAAATGGATTAGGATAAGGCGAAAACTAAAGAATTTTCATCACAACCTTTAGGTACTCCACCAACTTCAGATTTCCCTCAGGAACACTTAGAATTCATCCTTACTTTCTGCTAACAACCTCAAGAACGGTCTGCTACGAGGCATGTTATTGCTTGTTTAACTGAAGTAAACATGGACAACATCAACTTGTTTTCCGATATCAGATAAATACATCTATCTTTGCTGTTATAAGGAAGTTATCCGCATATGGTAATTCCTGCTTTGTAGTGTCGTTCATTATTTAACAAATTATTAGTTACCACTCAGGTCACAACGGTACTTCAGATTCTTCCTTTTGATGTATTAACTAGAGGTGAGGCTGACGGCTTTTTAGTTTGATCAAAGTGGTCTTAACTCCGACTTCGACTAACATCTGGATCCTTCCAATACACTGGTAACTAACTCTGACTGGGTCAAGTCATAAATATCGTAGTAAAGAGTCGACAGTTGCTTTGTGTCCTATATATTCTTGAGCTGTCGGAATACTTGTAGTGGCATTGGGCCCTAACACGAGACAAAATGGAAAATAGACATTCAACATTTAACGCTGGGAAATACCCAACAATGGAGAAGGCGGGAATAATGAATTGAATTAATCATAGTTAATCTGATGGCATGGCTCGACCATGCAGGCGTGGTCCCTCCTGAATTTTACCTTACATCTTTTATTGGTATTAAAAATATTGTTCTATCTCTAGCCTAAGATTGTTCTCTATCGTATATTGGTAAGTGTTACAATACAATGAGTTGGTGTAGACGATGATATAACTTCCACGTAAGATCTTATAGATTAGGCAGTTACATCATGATAAATCTACAATTTTAGGATTAGGTATATTATTGAAGCAGTGCTAATATCATAGCAGACCATAATTCTACATGCTATCCTTGCTTTGCCAATCCATGACTTCACATATGCATCAGATCTCCCTTACTTATCAATGGTCTACGTACGTAACTCACTCCACCTAAGCTTCTACATCAAATGTGATCCGTTTTGTGCTCGTTGTGTTGCATTTGAGGATCTTGCTTTTTCTCTGGTGTACGTTGAGGCCTATTGCTTCAGTGTTTGCTGCGACACCAGCCATATTCACCTGCATTTATTGCTGTGTTTGGGATAAAAGTGTTAGGTCACCCGAAAAGTTGAAATCGTCTAGCTACATACAAGCTGTCCATTGTAGTCCATGCCTCTCCTGAAATGTAGTCGTCCATAATCCAGTTGACCACAAGAAGAAGAAATAGATAAAAGAAGCAGCCTTATCTGATGCCGGTTACAGGAAGTAATTTCCAGAGGATGTTCTGAATTGTTGAGCAAAAAGTCTCGGTTTAGCCAATTTCAGAACAAGTAAGCTATTTGGCTTGATAAAATTTGTCTGATCCCAAGACATAAATTTAAACCGTTAGATTTCAAGAAACAGTGGTCGATAGTGTCGCAATTTGGTCCATCGCTTGTGTGTTTAAAAGCCTCTGGAGCATTTCTGAGCAGGTCTCATAAACTCAGTATATGATAATTCTACCATCGGAATCTCTTCTAATGAAGTAATTGCAAAGCCACTAAGACCAAAAGGCAATATTAATAGGATACGAGATGTATTTGGACTGTTTGCAAAAGTATCTTTGTGTATAATATCTTACCTGGCCACTTACTAGACGAGTTGCGTCGTATAGTATACCTATGCTCAACTGATCTTCAGATAATCATGTGCTCAGTACAACTAACATTGGTCAGCACCAAAACTACATACCTCAAAGATTTATTTGCCTTTACGATTTCCATATAATGATAATTTTTGTTTCAACATACATGTAAACGTAGTGCCCTTAATGTACTATTTCTTAGTCCAGACCTAATTATTAATGTTTCCCTATTTATATTGTTGATCCTCCAGTTATAACCCTATCATTGTATTATGTCCCTCTAATTGCCTGAGGTTCCTGTAAATAACAAAATACCTCAACAATGTCGGTCACCCATACTGTGACTCAAAGCTTCTCTGACAAAATTAGGTACTGTACAACAAAAAGTTATTAATTACGACTTTTAAGTGCCTGAAAATTAGCAAGGATTTTACTGTAATTAATTCGGCCTAATGCAGAGGAAATTCCATAGAATTTATTCTGTCATGCAACAAATTTCCGTTACAACGAGTTCTCCGAAACATTTATATGGTTATGTACTTGACAGTGTTGAGATATTTATATGTTTCATATTCAGAGTTGTTTTGATAGCACCTTCAACATTACTAAACGATTACTTCACCATCTTCTGATGGACTTACTTACTTACTTACGCCTGTTACTCCCAATGGAGCATAGGCTGCCGACCAGCATTCTCCAACCCACTCTGTCCTGGGCCTTCTTTTCTAGTTCCATCCAATTCTTGTTCATTTTTCTCATATCTATCTCCATTTCCCGGCGTAATGTATTCTTTGGTCTTCCTCTCCTCCTTCGACCTTGAGGATTCCATATGAGGGCTTGTCTTGTGACGCAGTTGGGTGTTTTCCTCAATGTGTGTCCTATCCACTTCCAGCGCTTCTTCCTGATTTCTTCCTCCACTGGGATCTGATTTGTTCTCTCTCATAGTAGGTTGTTGCTTATAGTGTCCGGCCAGCGGATCTGAAGCATTTTGCGTAGACAACTGTTAATAAACACCTGTATCTTTTGGATGATGGATTTCGTAGTTTTCCAGGTTTCCGCGCCATACAGTAGAACGGTCTTGACATTTGCATTGAAAATTCTGACCTTGGTGTTGGTTGCCAATTGTTTTGAGTTCCAGATATTCTTCGGTTGTAAATATGCTGCTCTTGCTTTGCCGATCCGTGCCTTCACATCTGCATCAGATCCACCGTGTTCATCGATGATGCTGCCCAAATATGTAAAGGTTTGTACATCTTCCAAATCTTCTCCGTCAGTTGTGATTGAATTGTTGCATGCTGTGTTGTATCGGAGAATCTTGCTTTTCCTTTTGTGTATATTGAGACCCACTGCTGCTGAGGCTGCTGCTACACTGGTTGTCTTCTCCTGCATTTGTTGTTGCGTATGCGATAGAAGAGCCAGATCATGTGAGAAGTCTAGATCATCCAACTGCATCCTAGCTGTCCACTGTATCCCGTGCTTCCCTTCAAATGTTGATGTCTTCATGATCCAGTCGATCACCAGGAGAAAGAGAAAGGGTGAGAGCAAGCAACCTTACCTGACACCGGTCTTTACTTCGAATGACTTTGTCAACTGTCCTCCATGCACGATTTCGCAGTTTAATCCATCATAGGAATTCTGTATGATATTGACTATCTTCTGAGGCACGCCGTAGTGTCGAAGAAGCTTCCTTAAGGTCGTTCTGTCCACGCTATCAAATGCTTTCTCGTAGTCAATGAAGTTCATGTAGAGTGATGAATTCCATTCAATTGATTGTTCCACAATGATCCGTAGAGTTGCGATTTGGTCTGTGCGCGATCTATCCTTACGGAATCTTGCCTGTTGGTCTTGTAGTTGTTCGTCTACGGAGTCCTTCATCCTGTTTAACAATACCCTGTTGAAGACTTTTCCTGGTATTGAAAGAAGAGTGATTCCCCTGTAGTTGTCACAGTTGCTGAGATCGCCTTTCTTTGTTA